GGAGAGAATCGCTGATCAGAACTGTTCAAGAAAAATGAAGATGAACTGCAGACTTGAACGACGTGCGCTTAAATTTGCTAGATCTCCTCCAATACAATGACGGGCCGGGTACGCCAGTCCAATTGTTTAAATATGGAATTTAACACAAATAGCACTAAACAGGGCACTTTAGCGAGTTTACGCTTCGATCTTCTAACCTATTTGGTCTCCATTTGGCAAAATTTATAAATGATTATTTTTTTTTTATCAATCATTTTAATTGATTCACAAGTACTATTTATTTATTAATCATTAATTTCTATCTACAATAGGAGATGTTTGATGGATATTATTCAGAAAAAAATGTATTTTAAATAGTGATATGATGTAAAGTATGTGATTAAAAAGTAAGGAAAATTTATTAATATAATGAAAAATATTATTTTATTGAAAATGTGTGGGTAAAAATGAATTTTAAAAGAAGAGCCGTGCTATTGTGCCCGGCTCAAGGCCAGACCCAAAAATAGACCCCGGTTGGAGGGGGTGACTTCGGTCAGACCCCCCTCCAATAGGGGGCGCCTGTTTTTTGGCCTGGCTTTGAGCCGAGCCAAGAATAATTGCCCTTGAAAGAATGTATTTTGAGAGAATATGTGTCAAATAGATGCTAAATTAAGCATTCGATTTGACAAATTTATAAATTGGTATAACTTATTTATTTTCAGTAAATCTTAAGTACTATTCACTCAACTATCAATCTTGACTAGTTTTCACGGTTTTGGAATAAATAAAATACAAAATAAGTAGTATTTATTGTCGAAAAAAATTATTCAAGCTTTGAGACCTACTACTATTACTCCTAAAAAGCTACTAATAAGTTTACACGAACATAGACTTAGTGATAAAGTAGGAAAACAAACAAATTTTTAGTGGCAATATATTTACCCTAACTAGATTTCATTCAGTCGGAATTAATTAAAGCTAAATATTTGAATATGAATCTTTTAAGAAAAATTAGTCAAAAACTAAGCCTTTTTAATATAATTTAAAATTCAAAGTCAAATGTGAACTTCTTAACATATTATATAGGACTAATCAATCTTGAACTTGCGTTACACGTTATTATGAACTACTTTATAAGTTATGTAAAAGTAATATTTAAATATGCGTGAATATTAATTAATTTAGAATTTATAAAAGGGAATATATACTTTATTTAATTTTCAATTAAGTAAAATTAAATGTTAATTAGTATACATGAACGTGAATAATGAAATGCATCTTTGAATGTGAAATTCTAATTAACTTATAATTAGAATTAATAAAATTGAAATATATGAAAAAATATGAATATGAATATTAATATTAATTAAATGAATGTGAATGTTAATGTTAATTAATTGAGAATTAATTCATACATTAATGAAAATATACATGTAAAATGAATGTGTCAAATGTACGTGTACATTGATGGTAACTAAATGGTTAAATAAATTAAATACATATTAAAAAAGAAAAGCAATGTATTATTGAAATAATTGAATTATAGTATGATTAAAATCGTCTAAAAATTATACTCACTTGATATGATATTTAATATAGTAATGCTAAAATCATCCCAAAAAAAATGATTCTAACTTGATATAATATTTAATATAGTAGGGTTAGAATCGTCCAAAAAATAAACATCAATTGATGTGATATTTAATATATTATAAATTGACTTTGTCTATAAAATATCTATTAAAAAAAATTAAGAAGCGTAAGAATATTATTTTATATAAAATTGACTTTATAAAATAATATTCTTATACTCTCATTACGCTTCTTAATTTTTTTAATAATCAATACCTAAGGACCACAAGATTTTTAAATTGTCTTAATAGAATTCAAATTTTAATAAATGGGTACATTGAATTTCAACAGTAATTTTCAAATTAGTTGTAATTAAGATTCCTAACAGAAATTTTAAATTGTTTTAAAACAAAAGTCAACTACTTTATATATAAATGGCCATATACTACGGATCCCAGAGACTGCGACATAGTTTTCAACTAAAATATTTATTATAACACATAAAAAAAATTAAAAAATATATTTAAAATATTAAATCTCAATAAACGAAAAATATTAATATTTTTTAAATTCAAATAACAAAACACAACAAAACTTAGATTAATCATAATGAACTAAACACAACAAAACTTAAATTAATTAAGGAATCAATGATTAATAAAAGTAAAGATAAATATAATTAATGTTAATTAAGCATTTATTAATGAACAATGACGCGTACTTAACGGGTTTTGTTTAATTTGTGTTGGGAACTTAGTATCATGTCATGGAGATTATTAAAAATCATAATTATATACTTAGTAAGATTGCAAAAATTCAAAAACACGTTTAGATAAATTTTATTGTTGTTATGATTAAAGATTGTAAGTGCTCGATATCATAAAGTGATGATAAGTATCATTTTTACGAGTATTGAAATAATTCAATCATACCTAACTCTATATGAATTACACAAATTTCAAATATTGATTGACTCCGTATCTACTCTAAATCAACTACTTTATGAAAATAAAACTAAGTCGTCTAATTGTAACTTTAGAGGATGATTGAAATACTACGGACCCATCAATCTATTTTAACTTTACAATTCCCAATACTAATTACAAAATCATAATCTTCACGACAATCGATTATCTTAATTTATCTAATAATTTCTCATGAGCAAAGTTGCTTCCATATATCACCCTCAAATATTCCTACCGAAAATTCGATATATAAAAGTGCGTGACATCATATAACGATTGCGTAAAGCATAGAAGTGTATTCCTACCCTACAGTGGACTTTATGTTGTTTATTAAAACGTGCCAAACCTATCTTCAGCCTATCAATTAAAATTAATTGTTAACTTTGAATTCAATTAAAATCTAAATTTTAATTTTTTTCACGATTTAATGAAATGTTGGTTTCTAGCTGCATTTTTTTGAAGTGCAAAAATTTTAATAGTTTGACGGTCAATCAATCTCTATGACACACAAAATTCCAAAGGATTTTGATGGTTGTATGAGCCACAAAATTCTAAAGGATTTTAATGGTCGTTTGGCCCCGTACTATGAGGGGCGCCAAGTCACCTCAACCTATGGTACAGGGCCCATCGCATCACTCAATTTTAAAACTGGACGAAGAAAGTTTTTGTCAATCGATCGTGTGTTTTGTGCTGCGTGCTTCAGTGGTTACCTTAAGTTGGACTTTATGTCCCGTTATTTCCTAGTATATTTTTCTCTCTCTTCTCATTGACAACGTATTTTACAATAAAATAATATTATACTTAAATTCAGGAATTTTTTTTTTTTTTTGAATCAAATATTTAAAAAAAAAAAAATTATCATTTATCTTGTTATATGATAGAATAATGGGGCCAAATAGGCACCATATATACATCAATACTAATAACAAACCAATAGTTTGATCTCCAAAACCAGATCCCATGTCGCCGGCGACGACAGTAGCATACACAGAGAGGTTTCTGCACGAAAATGACGCCGAATCAATACCGGCAAGGGATAACAAGGACACCACCGGTGACATCTTGGCCCTCTTCAAAGGCTTAGATCTCCAGGGCAGCATAGAGCACGGCTCCGCCAGTAGAGACTTCGGCGGCATGCATTCATCGGAGCCATTGGCCATAATCAAACCGACCAGCAGCGACGATATATCCAAGGTTATAAAGTTAGCTAAACGGACACCCCACCTGACTGTAGCAGCCAGAGGCAACGACCATTCCATCAACGGCCAAGCCATGGCGGAAAAAGGCATAATCATCGACATGAAATCAATGGACGCCGCTAGGATCGAGGTGTCGCCGTCCGGTTCATACGTAGATGTCGGCGGCGGCGCTTTGTGGGAGGAGGTTTTGAAAAGCTGCGTTTTGAGCCACGGACTCTCTCCTCGGTCGTGGACGGATTACCTTGGGTTGACCGTTGGCGGCACGCTGTCTAACGCCGGCGTCAGTGGCCAGGCGTTCATATACGGCCCACAAACGGAAAATGTAACGGAGTTGGAGGTGGTCACCGGCAATGGCGAAATCATTTTCTGCTCACATAATGAAAATTCAGAAGTTTTCTTTAGTGTTCTTGGTGGTCTTGGTCAGTTTGGCATCATCACTCGAGCTAGGGTTTTGCTCCAACCAGCTCCTGACATGGTTAGCATTTTCTTTCACACACACACACACAGAGTTTGATGGTTGGTCCGTCGACCGTCGGTAGTCTGTTGGTAAAATAAGAGTAAATATTTGGATAGTTTTATTAATTAGTTTTTGGTGATTAGGTGAGGTGGATAAGGGCAGTGTACCATGAGTTCACTGAGTTTACTCGAGATATCGAGCTGCTAGTGACACATGGTGACTCATTCGACTATGTAGAAGGGTTTGTATTTGTCAACAGTGATGATCCGATCAATGGGTGGCCATCGGTGCCATTAGATGTGAATCAACTCGACTCGTCTCAAATCCCTTCAATGGCCGGCCCGGTTCTTTACTGTCTTGAGGTGGCTTTGAATTATAACAAAAACGAAAGGCTGCCCTCCTCGGTTGACATGGTAAGTAAATCAGTTTTAAATTATCAATCCCACCATTTTCTCTTTCTAATTAATGCATTCTGATAAGGGTTTTAATTTAATTAATTTAGTTTGGTAATTCAATTAATTAAGTTTTCATTACAAGCAAAGTCAATTGCGTTTGTAGAAAGTTTTTTTCAGGCATTAATTGGAAAAATTATTGATCACTCGGAAGCTGGCATCGAGAAAAGCATAATTGTCATTTTTTTAAAAATATGTACTTTCTTTTTTAAAATTATGCTTAGTATGTTAAATATTTAAGTAATAATTGTGGTTGGTCATGTCGTTCGAATTCAAATAATAATTTTGAGTAGCCAAAATGTTCTCAATTTTTTTTTTTATTATTTCGAAGTAATGTTTCCTTAATTTCCTTATTTCTTAGGCCATGTTTGATTGCATTTCAATTCTATGGAAATTAAATTCAAATTTTCACATTTTTGCATGTTTGATTGTCCAAATTTTTCATGAAATTTGTTTTCCATCTTTCACCCACATTTTCTTGGTTTTTGAGGAGGGAAAAACTTTTCTAGGAATGGAAACAAATTATATCTCTTTAATAGACAATTTTCATAAAAACAAAATCAAACGAACACCAAAAGATCCAAAATTTCAATATTTTTCAGGTGAAAAATTATATCAATCAAACACAATTAATTGGCAATTCCCAATAAAACAATTTCTAGGCAATTTAATTCTCTAAAATTCATTTTCTTTCCATCCAAATTTCATTCTTGCAATCAAACGGATCCTTAATTGTTTCACATTGATCTTTAAATTTTAAAATAAAGTTTAATTTTTGTAGAGAGTGGAGAAATTGCTTGGACAACTGAGATTTTGCAAGAATATGAAGTTCGAGAAGGACCTCAGCTATATGGATTTTCTGTTACGTGTCAAACATGCAGAGGAACAAGCCAAGGCTAATGGTATATGGGACGCCCCACATCCATGGCTCAACCTATTTGTCTCCAAAAACGACATTGCAAATTTCGATCGTCTTATTTTCAAAAATATCTTGAAAAATGGTGTTGGAGGACCCATGCTAATCTATCCTATATTGCACTCCAAGTAAGTACCAATATACTTCTAATATCATGTATGACGTAACTGACACGATAAATTTACATTTTTATGTTGCATAATAATCGAGTAGTTACACTTATCAAACTGTTCAATAACGTCTATTTTGATATACGATTCAATTTACGAATACATTTCAACGAGCTAAATGAACTATATGGAACAATTCAAACCATTCACAAAATTGCACGTGGCATATGGGGAGGGGACATTTGTTTTCATAGGATTATTTTCTTACGTGTTTAATTTATGTGGACATTTGAAATAGAGTGGTTGAGATTTTTAAGTTAGGTAGTGTTTGGGGACCCCAATCGGATTAATTGTCATTTTTATTCCTATTTATGGGGGTGTCATCAGTTATGATTTTGATGGATTTTAAAAGATTGTAAATCATATTTCGTGAATTTGAATAGATTTCTACAAATTCCAAAAGAATCTTAACAAATATGATGAAATTTTAAAAGATTTGATTATATATATTTTTAAGCTTGAAATCTATTCAAATCTTTTTAAATCTCTCTATTAATTAATTTTTTATAAATTCAATAGTTATTGAGAATACCTAAATTTTAAAGGATTTCATTAAATTTCATTAAAATCTCAATAATGAACACCTAAATTTTAATGGATTTCATTAAAATGTATTAAAACCTCGATTGAAGACACTCCCTTAAAAACACTTCAACGTATATATAGTTGGTTTGCCCTACTAAAATTACGACAAATAGGCAATCTCTTTTATTTTGTGCATGTTTGTCAAAGCTTATAATTAGTAGGATTAAGGATTGTGTGGTTGAAAAAATATAAAAATTGCGAATCCTACTAAACGTGTTGATAAAATTTGTCCGATCAGCTTATAAGCAATTATAAACTTTGACATGGAATTGTAAATAAATCCGGGTTCGTAATGGCACCATCCTCTTTAGGACTAAAGTTGGTCCATCACCATTCACCAACTTGGAATATCATTTTCAATCATAAAAAATCTTCAAATAAATCATTGCATGTCAGTTAAGTGATTGTGTGACTAAAAGAAATTGATGAGTTTCAATCAGTAAGGACCAATGTGCACCATAAATGAAAGTTCAATGACCACTACAAATTTCTTTCATGTCTATTTGTATATGTTTCCATTCGATTGTAGTCTAGACTTGTACTTAACATTCGTTTTAAAGCAGATGGGACGACCGAACATCCGTAGTTTTACCGGAAGGGGAAATCATTTATTTAGTGGCATTGCTGCGTTTTTGCTTGCCATATCCAAAGGGCTTATCAGCAGAAGAAATGGTCGCACAAAATCATGAAATTGTTCAATGTTGCATGAAAAATGGCTTCGATTTCAAGAAGTATCTTCCTCACTGCAACTCCAAGGAAGAATGGAAGCAACATTTTGGAAATCAGTGGACAAGATTTCAAGAGAGAAAGGCCTGTTTTGATCCAATGGCCATTCTTGCACCGGGGCAGAAAATTTTCACAAGAAATTAGGAGCTATCTTGAAATCGTTTTTCATTTACTTTTGTGGGATTTTATCCCAGTTTTTAAATAATATTTCTTCCCATCATCTCATCGAAGTAGTTATGAAATTTATATTTCTCTATAAATAATAGAGTGAAGGTTCATTGGATGGAGAAGCTTTGTGAAAGCGCCTATATATTTACCTCTCCTTTTTATCAATTCATTTGACAATAAATTTTAATCTTATTAATGTAGAGTTACAAATACGTCACCACGAGATTTCATTTTCTACAGTAAATCAATTCTCATTTTCAACCACACATTCTTCAATAAAATAATAGTTTCCATCACATCAATACTTTTTTCTTCTTTTTCAACCACACATTTCCCATCATATCACTATTTAAAAATCAATTCTTTCCACAAAAATCCCTACCAAACACACTCTAATACGGTTGGCCATTACTCAATTCAAAAATTTCATTTCACCTCAAATATACCATTGTATTGTATTATTCCATGTAGATATACTAAGGTTGTGTTTGATAAGCCTAATTTTCTTCCATTTCTCACTTTTTGACTTGTTTCATTGACAAAATTTGCTATGAAATTGTCTTTCCTTACTTGTGTCACATCAACCCGTTTTTCATGTTTTTAAGGAATTGACTTTCTTACCAAAGTAGTGGGAATCCATTTTCTTGACAAAATGAAATTATTTTATTTTTCTTTCTAATTTTTTTCTTGGCAATTGGAAAAAAATTTTAAACAAAATTGTAAAAAATTTTATCACTTTTATTGACAATTTTCATACAAAACGAAGTCAAACGAATGATATTCGGTATGGTAATTTTTTTTAAAAAAAAAAATTTGACAATTGGAACAAATTTTAGACCCAATAGTATAAAAAATTATCACTTTAATGGACAATTTTCATAAAAAAATAAAGTTAAACAGATATCAAACTTTCAACATTTTTCAAGTGGAAAATTATACCAATCAAATACAATCAATTACAATTTTCAGTAAAATAATTTCTAAACAATTCAATTCCCTGAAATTCATTTTTTTTCCATCCATTTTCTACATTCGCAATTAAACAGACCCTAAACATATTCATCATAGTTAATTGTTCAAGTTCATAATTATTAAATCAAGATCAATGGTCACACATATATCTTCTAATTAATCTTCATAGAATAATTAACTTCCTATAACGCCAAATGCCCAAGTTAACGTGCAAAGTGCAACCGTCACTTTTTTGAGGCCACGCTGTTAAGAATTGGGGTTCCTTCTTAAAAGGTCAACCTTATTAAGAGAAGTAGTTCAAAACCTTTATTAATTAGTTTGTGTCAACATCATTTATCGATGTATGATATATATCCCTTAACACGCCCCCACAAGATAGTGGTTCATTTGAGCAGACCAATCTTGAAATCCACGTGCTCATTTTAGAGTCTTATCGGGATCGAATCGCTCATTGGAGTATAATGGGCTCTGATACCATGTTTAAAAGGATATTGAGTCTAACTCAACTTAACAAAATCGGCTTGTTAGGGGAGGATTGCTCTCACCTTATTAAGTGGATCATGTAAATATCACCAGCAAATGTGAAACTCTAATACACCCCTTCACGCACAACGTAGACCATGCCAAACAATTGTGAACAAATATATTAGGGGAGGATTGCCCCCACCTTATTAAGTGGATCATTTATATTTTCCGAAGTAATGTGGAATTCTAATACGCCCCCTCACACATAGTGTGGACCATGCCAAACAATTGTGAACAAATCGATATTGGGTGCATCCAACATTGCAAAACTGTACTGCTCTAATACCATGTTAAGAATTGGAGTTCCATCTTAAAAGGTCAACCATATTAAGATAAGTAGTCCAAAACTTTTATTAATTAGTTTGTGTCAACATCATTTATCGATGGAGGATATATATCTCTTAAAACACGCTAGATATTAGGATAACCCATGCCATGCATGAACCACCATGTTTCAAGGTGGAAAATCATGCCCATTGATTAAAAATTAAAATTGAAAAAGTGCAACCGTTACCTTTTTGCGGCCACGCTAGGAACTCGAGACATGCAAACATTCTGCTGCAGAGCTCGCGAATGCAACACTTGGACATTTTAATTGTATTCGATGTCTTCAAGATCTCCTCATTGTAGCATTTTTATCTTTTCACTTTTTTTCGTTAAGTTTTTATCTTCGACCTTCCATTAATTATCACATCTCGTCTCTGCTAATGGTATTTGTCCAAAAGTTAGTTGAGAGAGTGTAAAAAAATTTATGTACATCGTATTTAAAAAATTAAATAAATACAAAAATATGATGATTTAATTTTTTCTATTTTCTGTTAGAATTTGGGTGTGACTCGAATTCTTTGTTTGAAATATTAAAAAATTTTAATTAAAGTGTACGTCAAGAAGAATTCAGTTTGGAATGCTATTGGAGTCCAATGTCAAGTTGAAATTATATTTTGGAAGCTCATTTCGAGTTGGAAATTGGTATTAGATTTGAAGAAGAATTCGGAATGAAGAAAATAATTTGAGAACCAAAAAAAAAAAATCTCGAGGTCCGTAGTGTCGGGCACGAGTGCCAGAGGTGGCGCCGCCTGACCCTGTTTCGAGTTTTCCACGTTTTTCTCTCCTTTTTCGTTTTGAACTCGATTTTTGGTATCATATTTCAATAACAACACTATTGGGAGGGTTTGGAAGTCCCCTACATATTCCCTCTAAATATTAGACTCTTCTATATAATTGGATAAGTGTGAGAAAATAAATTACTAGAATTATAGGATCCATTATAATTTTCTCTCTTATCCATCATTCTCGAGTCAATAAAATCTCTTAATTCCTCTATCATATTTCTTGTCATTATTATTCTTTTACTTGATCTAATATTTCATTATTAGTCATATAATTTCAACAATTCATTACAGTGGTTGGTTTCATCAAGTGGTAATACTTGATCTAATATTTCATTATTATTCATATAATTTCAACAATTCATTATAGTGGTTGGTTTCATCAAGTGGTATTCAAACAATATATAATTATTGTATTTCCAACATTACTAACAGCGATCCAGACATATTAATATTTCTTCTAACAAGAGATATTTTGGTTGTTTCACAACATTTTCAATGTATGCAAGCGGAATATTTTGACATAAGGCATTTTCAACAATGAAATTTGCTAATTAATCGAAGTTTGAAGATCAAAATTTGACGATAAAACATTTAGGGATATAAGTTCTCCCATGAATAAAGGTTGATGATCTTGAATGCAATTAAATTGTGGTGCAACTATGAGCACCCGATATAAGAGTCCAAAGGGGAACATAAATTTTGGACTGTAAAGCCCTTATTAATATTGTGAATTCTCTGTTTTACCCTTTAAGTTATGTATTAATTACAAATAAAAAATTATGAATATTTGTTTTAGTCGTGTTTAGTAAATACTTTTAATTTCCAGATTGTCTTTCTTCATTATCCCAATCATCACTTCGTTACAACTCTTTCCTCTACCGTCATTATCCTATTTTTAATTAAATTGTGCTTGGAAAAATATCACTTCATTCTGCCCAATAAAAATCCGCCAAATTCAATAGTCAATTATACTGTAATGAATATTCATACAGATGATAATTTCCCTCTATCAGGTCCGTCCAATCTGAACCGGCAAATCAATCAGATTTTATGCATGTTACCTTCGAAAGACAAATTCAAAGGTAGCGTCTTTCTCGAATGATAAGATTGAAGCCTTATCAGGTCAGTGATTTTGCTTTGAGTCCCATTTGAGGTTGAGAGAATGTCGAAAAATAGTCAAATTGCCTAAGGTGGATTTTTTTTTTCCTAACAAATTCAGAATTAAAATTTTTTTAAAAAAAAATTAGTTCAATAACCAAAGTGAGTGAAAAAAACAATATAAATTCTGTGACTAACGGTGTTTTTAACTTTTTTTTTTTTTTTTTTTTGTGTGTGTATTTTCTCTCTTCCATACTACATGATTATGACTGATAGATAGACAGAAACCCATAAAGCCTAAAGGTCATGTTATTTGGGGTATGTGTGGACAAAACATACCCATATTGTAGCTTTCATAGTATAATAATTTCTGCTCTCTAGTGCTTGTTTTGAATACGGATTGATGAGCAAGAAAGAAAATTGAACTCAGCCCGCCTTCACATCTTTTGGACCCCTCGTCCGCCCGCCACCAGTTGAGTAAATGATCTGTCTATTATACAAGATACTGAACAGTAAACAATTCATCAGAGCCCCTAAGTATGGACCCAGAAACCTGGGGAGAAGATTTCTTTGTTCTTTAAATGCTTCTTTTCTTTAGTTCTTTGGAATTTCCATCACAGAGAATTTTATTACGTTGGTAGTTCTATGTTAATTTCGTCAGTTATATTATCTTTCATTCACAGCTAAGCAGTGCTACTCGTGAAGAAATAAAGTGTGGATTGTGCAACGAAGCTCCCACTAACTTTCTCTCAAGATATTATACAAGTTAGATGCATGCAACCAAACACGGATGAACATATTTGGGTTGTAAAGTAAGTCGAGAAAGATGAAATTGGAATATAGTCCATGGCCTGTATTGTGTATTAAATTTAGGAACATTCTTCTACATGTTCCGGAAGAAGGGTGAAAGCTCGTGGCTTGTTTGGTAGGGTGGGCTTAATATATATTATGTCTCAATCTTAGGCCCCCATTGAGGCCAGATATTTCCTTCAGATTCATAGGTATTTTCTCCAACTTTTGTGAATCAAAATATTGGAATTCCTGCATTTCCAGTTCTATTTCTTACAATTCACCTCCTACAGAACAAATTGTTCCTGAAATTCTGCTGCAAATAATTCTTTGCACAGATGACGACCAAAAACTCAAAAATGTGCCTCCTAAAGCTCCACAATGTTTCGAATCCAAACTTGCATGTTTGGTATTTAACAATTAAACCGTAGTGGAGATCATGGAATAGAGAAGAATTCAACCTTTTTTTCTTAATATTTTCCAGCATTCGTCCAACCTACCTTAATAAACGTGCCACTTATATTGACCATGTCGTGCATTCATACCTCAAAATTGTCATTTATCGAATCTTATAGCATAAAACATTTCGCACATATCTAAAGATACAAGAATGAAGTGCATGAGTTCAATTATGCAATCAAAATCGGAGCCAAGAAAGAAAATTCTCCCCAAGATGGACTGGTGGGCCAAACACTTTGGAATCGAACCCTGGTTCTCTCTTGTTTGATGCTCCCAGCATTTCGTTGGTTAAACGTGTTTGAGAAACACGCATTTATTAATGAAACGTTTTCACCTTATACTTGACATGTGCATTGCCTATGACTGTTGGATGATGGATGAATTATTTACATGGGCTTGATGGCTCTTGGGTTACTTGGACAGTTCATTTGCTTTTGGAGACTTTTGGGGCTCCTGCGTGTTTGAGAGAAAAAGAGAGAGAGGAAGATTGCTAGGGTTTGCGGTCTTCGTTTTGATTCACTTAAAATCTCTGATTTCAAGTGTTGTGTGTGATAGAGTAGCCTTCGTTGTGTATTGTCCTGAGTGAATGTTGTGAGGATCTGTGCAATTTCTTTGTTGTTGTTTTCTGGTGTTGTTTGAAGGGTTATTAGAAGATTTCTTGGTGAATCTTTGTAAATCTATCACTGTATTTGAGAGATAAGTCTGTTGTTTCATCTCTCTGACCATTTGTAACTTTCATTGCCATTTTGGGTTGTTTTAGTGCAACTGAGCATAATCCTTTTCTTGGATGCTCAACGGGGGATGCCGGTGTTGTCAATACCAAACCAGATTGTAACATTAATAGGACAGAAACAATCTTCTAAGAATCAAACACTTTCACGCTACTTTTAAGCAGCATTTATTCAATGTAACATTCATTAACAATCTAGTATTAATACATACTCACTTATTCAATCATCCATATCAGAACAACAGCTTTCAGATCGAACCAAACCTGCCTTCTTCACTGGGCTTGACCGAGGCGAGTCCAAGCTCCTCAGAAGCAGCTGCTTAACAGCAGAAATGAGTTCCTTAGTGGGATTCTTTGGTGGCCTTAAAGTCCTAAATTTCTTGCAAAAACTCATGTGCTGATTTAAAGCCTCCTCATTTCCAATCCTTTTCTCTGATCTCACAAACTCGTCCTTCACCGCCTCTGCACACAGTCCGCATATCCACCGCCCCTGGTAGCGCTCCCGAACACGAGCAGCGTAAGCCTCTGTGCACTCCTCTGTCAGCCCACAGCACTCGCATATTGCAAACTCAAGGTCACTTCTCTTCAATATAGTTGCTGGTTTTTGAGCAATCTCAATACCGGACATTGCAGCAGTGGTCATTTGTTGCCTGAAAACTTTCTTTAATTAATATATACGTATATAAAGATAATGTTGAGAAGACAAAATTTAAACAAATAAATTTGTTAACTCTATAATTCTTTTAGATACAGTGTTTTTAACATAGTATTACAACAGATATAGGTTCTTAGTTCAAGATTCAATGTCACTCGAGGCAGGCTTTTCATCAATCGTGTAAAGGGAGTGTTAAAAACAAATTAAATGCAAGACGACCGTAGTTAAAGATTAAAATTCCAAAACCAAATATAGATCTTGGAACAAAAAGTAAAAAGAGATAACTTTACCTAATGGATTGAATCAAACAGATGTATATAATAAACAGATCTTGGTGGGTTTTTCTTATCTTTCTTTTTCCCACTCGCCTTCTTCTTCAACAATCTCTCCGCCTATGATCAATAGCTTGAATATCATATACATTTCAGAGAGCCCTGTATGGCTCTTCTATTTTCTTGATTCTGCTTTCTCTTAAATGAATCAGCTAATTCAGAAAAAGAAGTTACTGAAGATTCAAGAACTTCAGTTCATCTTTCTTGATACTGTATGAACTGGAATTAATAAGAACACAAGATAATGATATATAAAGTAGAAGGAAAGAAAGATTTTGTGATCTCTTTTCCCACCGTGTCAAGTATTTTAGACTGGAAATTTCCATCAACAATGATTGGTGGTTCTTAGCAGCAGTAAATATTGGCCATGTCAAAATTTCACATGTTGTCCTAATAGCTTCGGATCTGCTGCTTTGTGGGCCAATGTAATACAGTGCTCTCTATCAATCTCCACCGATATCACATCACATGATGTGTCCCCTTTGATCTTAAACAATCATGAGTAAAATTGTAGCCACAGCCCTTATAGTATGGAGTTTTTTTTTTTAGGTTCACCTTCAAAGATGCTTACTTCGTAATCGTGTAGAAAAATATATTTCACAAAATGATTATCATAATAAAGGAAATTTCTTATTTACAAAAATGAACAATAAATGTGTTTCGAAAGAATAATATTATTGACGTGCTCTTTGTATTATCTTTGAGAGAAAACACATTACTTTTACATCAAAAATCATTTGTGACTTGTATTATTTCAATTATGGAGTGAATCGTTTAGAAAAAAAATTACACAATTCGATCTCAAACTATTGTTCATATAGCAAGTTAATCTCATTCAATATTTAAAAATAAACAAATTGATCTTCGACATTTCATTATAAGTGCACAATTAGTGTGAATGGCACATGAACTAATCAGGGTTAGTTTGACAAGATTTTTGAAGAGTCAATAATTAATGAATTTTCGGATATTTTTTGGTGGTTTTTCTCTTTAAATGAGTTTCTGTAAAATCTTAACATGACCCTTGAAAACATTCTTATTTCAAATATTTTGGCACTAGTTCAAGCTAAGAAATAAAACTTAAGGCCTGTCTGTTATCTCTATTTCCCTAGATTAACATTAAGATTATAGCCGTTGGTCTGAAATGTGGGACCCATGCCAGAGAGAAATGGTCAAAAAATGTGGGCAATAACGGGCAAAAAATCACAGTTTTGGCAACAATAATCTGGGTCATATATGCTCTTAGGTCCTACTTGGCTTGGCTAAAAATCATATTTTTAGTAGATGATAAAAATTGATCAAATATGTGGTCGAAAAACTGATAAAAGTAATAAATTTCATGAAATGTGTGATTGAAAATGAATTTAAAAAAAATTAATAAAATTGAGACAAAACAATGCTTGATTTCATAAATTCGAACATATAAAGATCAAGTGATAACGTAGCAAAGATTAGACAGTTTTAATTATTAAGGATTGACTTGTAATTATAATAAAATATTAGGAACTAATTTTCTTATTTTTAAAAGTTAGGTACAAACTAGTGCTGTATATTATTGTTGGACGGAGGTGTAGTCTTAGTGCTTGTTTGAAAAACAAACAGGCCCTTAATGTGGCGTGTGCAACAGGTGGAAAACCCTGATAGTTAGTTGCGCCAGCTGGGTAGACGTCGACGTTTTGGCATTAAAAATGGACTCCCACATGCAATTTGCCACGGGTGGGTCACTAGTGTTTCACTACGGCCATAAATGTCATTTTCTATCAAGGTTTTTTATCTTATCAAATTCGATATTCTTCTTGCATTTTTCTCATGCTTGATTGAGGGATATATAGATTTACAAGGAAAAGTGCAAAGTTTAATGTTTGTTTAATGCTAAAAAGTTCTTGATTGTCAAAAGTGAAAGGAATTATTTCAAACCTGTTTGTCGATTAGATGTATGATTTTAATATATTAACCGTTGTTAAGCCTGTGTTAGCCTAATTTTTTTTTTTAGAATAGACTCGGTAAAAAGTAAGTTTTTTTGGAGAATAAGTTGTAAAAAGTAAGAAAAAATTTTGAATTTACACGTAAAATTATTTTATGGAGAAAATATATTGTTGAAAATGAATTTTAAAGAATGAAGTTCAAAAATGGATGGATTTGTTAAAGGTCGAAATCACTAACTCATAGTAGTTTTTGTTTCATAATTTATTACTTTGTTGTACTTAAAAAAATACATATAAGGTAGGCGTCGAGGGTGGGGGCAGGTCTTTTTTATGTATCAGTTCAGTATAAAAATAAACAAATAAATTAATTAAAATTGTGTCCTCTAACCCCTCGATAGAAGGTGTCTTCCAACACGTAATAAGATCGTTTTATGATTTTGATATCTTTCTTACAAGATTAATTTGCGTAATCTTTTAAACAAAATTGTTTAGAGTTTTGTGGCTTCTTCTACCTTTGTCCAATTTAAGTAGTTGTTCTTTGACAATCTCTTTTGATTCTTTTTGGCCTTTCTTTCTTGAAGAGGGCGGAATAATCTAGAGACTAATCTCACTCTCAATAAGTACATCCTTATCTTCTTAGTAAATTTGACTAGATTATCATAGTATGGCCTACTAATCTTGTTTGAATATTAACAAGGAAGGTGACATCATTATTCATTAACACTAGGTAAAGACTAAAGAGCCACCTCGATGATGGCGCGGTCAAAAGTTTGATGACATTACTCCCATTGAAACGATTGTTTTTTTGTAATAATTATACGATAAATCATATCGATAGTTTAAATGTTAGTTCTCACTCATCTATCTGCTTATCCGAGTTCCTAAGATTCTCAACTCTTACCAGATTCTTCTACGTACTAGGAGATTGAAGTTATTTAGATAGGTCTTCTTTGCTTCCTTTTAACGAAGTCATCAACGTTCCATATTTCTTCCCAATGCACCCTTTTTGTTGGGCACTTACACCAATTCATCAAATACTAAGCCAAGATCTTTTCTAGGAGATTGAAATAAAGGATTTTACTTGTCACATCATCTAAATCGTTAATTTTAAAACGAAATGAAACGGAGTGGTGGATGAGAAATTATCTTGTAAGCACTGTATTCTAAAAAAAAATTAAAATTCTATCACGGTTAGAAAACGACGTTAACCCTATGCAAGTGCAAGGGCTGATCGGTGGGCCAAAAGGAGAGGAATGAGTGGTAATAAGAAAGGATAAGAAAACTGGATAGGAACGAGAAGAAGATGCTCATCAGTGAGTGAGAGACCGACCAGATGAGACTCAAGTACTGCGCCTGATAATGCGTGCATCTTATCAATTCTACCACAGTGTGTTTTGTTTCTATTCTAAAAACTTCATAATCACGACGAAAGACATGATACAATCTCTTTGTGGGTACCTAAATTTTTAATTTTATTCAAAGGTTGTCAATATCTAATCATGATTTTGACAAGAGTCATTATTTTTCTTGGTAACTTTGGTAACAATTCTCTCTTGAACTCGTGCTCAGTTGGGTCCACGAAATTGTTTACTGGATTGCTTTCGATACAAACTCGAACCACCCATGTTTAGTATACAGTATTCAAAGAAACACTCGTGTTGTGTGATTTATTTTTATGTAGTGACTGTGAGTGCTTGAACAGTGAAATATTATTTCTCTTCGATGTACAATTGAGTTTATTGAACTAGGTTAATTTTACGTTGATTCGAAATGACAAGATTAGCACATTTATTTACCAAAATTTTCTATTTGAGTCACTCAAACAAGTTTTTATTGGGAGAGAACCCCTAGGCCGACGTAAATGTTGGTTTGGCAAAGATATAGCGTGAATATATTTGGTAGTGGAAAAATCAAACTTGACCATTTGGCTTAGCTTGTGCTAAGATGCAAAGTTTTAAAAAAGACTAAAATAAGTTAAGTCGAAAGGTACTAATTAAATCAAACTCGACGATTAGGCATAACTTCTCAAAAAAGAAGGAACAAAAAACTAATCTCTACACTTGTATTCGGTATACCATTTCTTCCAACCTTAAATAACTTGACGTGAATGTTCATATTGACGTCGACATTTACTTGAATTCTACGTACAAATCTTGTTATGGTACGTGTATGAACAAAAGAAAAACGGGACATTGTTAACGTTTACCTAAAATACCATCACTGCATGTAGACGGAAAAGACCTTACATGTGATAATCATTGTTTCTTATCAATTAATTTGAAATTAACACTACCTATTGGTGTTCATATCCCTTGTGAACAAGAGACCTAATTATTTATTTATTTATTTATTAATTAAGTTGAAATTACTAAAGAAACGGGAGGAAAGGAGACCTGCAGATCGTTGACACTCTAAATACTCATTGATTCAGTTAAATATTAAGAATTTGTTCATCAAATATTCATTGATTTACTATGAATATCGAATAACGAAATTGAGAAACTCTCTGTTTTTCTTTCTTTATTCATCTTCATTTCTAAGGCTTGTGTGATTCTTGCAATAGAGGTTCCGCAATGAATCCGTATGAATGAAGACCCTCCAGTCTGGTCTTGTTTCTCTTTTTAGGTTGGAGTCCTCCGGGTGGCTTTTAGCGCTCTTTCGATGAGTAGGGACAATAAATAAATAAAAACTATTATCCACCTTAATATAAAATTGTCGATTTGACTATCTATAAGTTATAGTTTAAGTTAAAGGCTTTAGCTCAAGAGTTTTGCTTAGAGGCTCGGTTCTTAATGAAAAAGCATTATTATTTATCCAATTTACGACCCAGTTGATCGAGTAAAAAATGTTCGATTACATTAGATTTCCAACAATTTGTTTAATCAGAATTTTGATTTCTATCATGAGGTCTAAAACTTAATGTAGAGAATATGTTTGAATGTAACTCGACTTGAACACCCAAAGGTGGACGGACAGGCCAGGAAGAGACAACAGCGAGGGGGCACGACGAGCGTCAATAGGCTGCTTCTTATTCTCAATTTTTTCGACTACTTTATTGTTTTAGTTATTTTATTTCCACACTTTTAATAGTATTATTAGGTAGGGCAAGTAAGTCATGTTTTCATCGTTTACTAGGGGTTGAAGTTGACAAGTTGATTATTGAATAAATTTAGAACGTTTGGAGTCTCCCCAATTTTTATTCAAGTTCGATAGTCCTTTAGTTGATAGTTTACAATTATCACATTGAAAATAATTTATTTAGATATTACTTTCAACACATATTTTTTGTCATTAGTCTATTATATTGAATATAATATGTTATAAACTAGAGAAAAATAGAAAAGTAAATAGAGAGAGTCAATAAGTTTGTATGTATTTTTATTGAGAATTAAAGTCTTATATTTATAGGTAAGAATCATCAGCATTAGGGTACAATTAGCTATGTCAACGAGTTGAGAAACGAGCCGAAATTTAACATGTCCGAGCTTTTTTGGGCCTTTTGCTTGGCCAAAAAAATGAGGCTCGCCCAAAGCTTTCAGCTCGAGCCGGCTCGACTCGTTCTTTTTTTTTTAATTTGTTATAAATCTATAAATTTTTATAATGTATTTAAAATTTGTGCAATTTATACGTATTATAAATAATAACTATATATTAATATNCAGTACATTCATAGGCCTTGTTTGGCATGCTTCTGATTTTACTTATTTTTCTTGTCAATTATTATGTTTAATACATGAGTGGTGCTATGTGTACACACAATTTTTTACACAATGTTTTACACCCCCCTCACATGGAGGGGGGCCCAAGATTATTTTATTATGTGTGGGCCCCCCTCCATGTGAGGGGAGTGTAAAACATTGTGTAAAAAATTGTGTACACATAGCTTTATTCTAGATACAATAGTCATGATATTAAGGCTGCAATATACGATAGTCATTCAATAATTAATATTTAATTTACAACACTTTCCCTTTGATGACTAATTATACAATATTTGTCTAGCTAGAAATCTTGTTTGAGAAAAAGCCAAGGAGACTACCAACTAAAGGAAAAGGAATTTTAGTTAATTGTTAAGATACTGACTGACTAAAACTTTGCAAGCAAACTCAGTGATACAAACCTTAAATGATGGAAAAAGAGTAGGATTGCTTTTTCGATATTGATCACTGAAGATCTTTGTATCAGGCCATTCAAATATTTTCCATATTGTTGTCTTATTTTAGTATCTAAATAATATCAAATTCGTGCAAGATATTATTTCATAACTGGTGAACTGCAGTCAGCATGATGATTCAATGCAATCATATTAGAAAAAATATTGTTGTTACACTCTTCGGGATTATCAGAAACAATTTATAAAATACGAGAGTAAAATCATATTTAACTATTCTAATTATTTTATTATGGAAATTGTAAGTATACCAGTTTGTCCCTAATTTAATTTGCCCATTTGAGTCAAAATTGCAATTTCACTATTGACTAATGGTAACATGGACGGAATCAGTGATTTGGACCACGGTTGCAGTTAAATATAAAGGTTTGCGACTGTAGCCGTAAAAATGAAAGGTTAGGGTAATTCGCAGCAAAATGAAAGGTATGGGACCTCTGCTGCAATTTTCCCAAATTTAAATGTCTTCTTCTCTCCTCCTGGAGTTGGGGGTATTCTGTGGAGTGTTAAACTAGTTCACTTACTTTTTTGCCCACTGGACATGTGTGTGTGTGTGTGTGTATATATATATATATATATATAGAATGATAGATTTTATTTTTATCTATTTAAGTAAGTATAAAAGTTGATAAATATATAAAAATTATGGATGGAAATAATGCCTCCCAACAATTTTCCTTCTATGAAGTATCTCCCTCATTGGCAATTTTTCGGTAAACTAGAAAATGTGAGATGACAATGAAGATATTTACATTTAATTAAAAGAGTAATTTAAAAGTAAGTCCAATAAAAATTAGAGAAAGGAAACCAGAAGTAAAAAACTTGGTTTGCTATTTTCAATTTTGCAATACTTTGAAAGCGTGTTTGATCTGATATTTATGAAAATGTATTTTCAAAAATTAAATTAAATTTATAACATAAAATTCAAAACGTATTTTTAATGTTTTAAATATTTTCAGTGAAAATTTTGAAAATACTCAAACACGTGTTAAACAAACGTTTAAACAGAATTTTATATTAAAAATTTTAAAAAAATAAAAATTCTTTTAAAAAATCTAATTTTACCGGTTCCTCCGTTGTATCCTGGGAAGCAGACGCTCGTACTATCCTCAAGCACGTACGGTGAGGGGGCGAATCTATTTTAAGGAAACTGTGTTTGACACAGGCTTCAGGT